CGCGTCCCACCCCAGGGTAAGCATCTGCTCCAAGGAAACCCTGGCTTTCCTGCTTGCGTGCTGCTCGCATTTCGGAGGAGGTCCCCTTTTGTCATGCGCCTTGTTGTTTGTGTGCGTGAACTTTTGGCACGTGAGTCTGTGTGGGTCTCTGAGATTACCCTCATTCCAGTGAACCCAGCAAAGACTGGAACGCATGTCGCTGTGTGACGGTCGGAAGCATGCCTTCCACTGTCTTCTCTGCCACCGGCTGGAAGTGGATGCCTCGGCCATCGCCACCCTTCCACATGTCCCTCCTCTGGTTGGTTTCGGACAGAGGGGCTGCCCCAGCTCTAGGAGTGCATCGACGGTCCCGTGGACTCCACCTGCCTCTTTCCGTATGTGGCCAAAGGTCAGCATTCTCGGGTGACTCCTAGGGAGGACAGTGTCCCCCTAAGTGATTGCCTCTAGGTGTAAAGCCATCGGTTCCGGAGAGAACCCCGGTGCACGGGTGGGGGGTGGAGCCGGCGTGTGCCGACTGGCCAGGTGGAGTGAGGGGCACTGGCAGAGGAGACAGCAGGTCGGCCCTTCTCCTCGGGAGCTGTGCCTAACTCGGCAGGTGCAGCGCAGGTCCTTCTCAGCCCGAACTGCTGTGATCTCTCACCTTGTGTCCCGTCTGTTTGACGAGAGAATGAATCCCAGGTGTTCCTTTGAGATGGATAAAACGTGGTGGTGTTGAGGCCCGGTAAAAGCAGGTGGCTTTAGTTTATGATGACATGATCATTTTGAGTGTTATTACAGGCCGATTCCGGCAGGCATTTCATGTGTATCGTGTGTGCATTTTGATGAAGGCTTTTGGCAGAGGTGGTTGGAAATGCACCTGCCAACGTGTTCGGGGCGGCTGGTTTCTTCTTCCAGACACGTGGCCCCCTGTAATGACAACCCCTTTCCGACCACGCCAGGCAGCTGGCCTACACCAACATGAACAAGGGTGCGTCCTGACTAAAAACTGACGGGGCTTGTCACCTCCTGCGGAGTTTGCGTGTCATTATGGACCATGGGCCCATACTAAAATCCCAGGGAAAGTTCATTTTTATCTAGTGAGAAAGACGGATGTTTATCTTTTAATTTGAACTCCCTGAAGTGATGTCTGTGTGCCTGTTTCATGCAGAAATACTGCTAGTGGGGGTGTTGGTTTTCCATCTTCATCAGAGTAAACTTTCTTCTCCCAGGGACACATGGCAGATTCCTGCTTGAATCATCTGTGGGAACTAGCTGGGCTACCTTGGGCAAGTCACCGGGCTCCCCAAGCTCCTGTTTGATCCAAGGTGGGGGGTACGGAGTTGCTGTCGGCACGTGGCGTGCATCTGGGTGGTATCAGAGACCCTGCGTGGTGTGGCATTGATTCGCGGGCCACAGACATCATTTTCCTGTCTGTGCTCCTTTGATTCCTGTCATCTCCTTAAGAAAGGCGTCTCAGTTTGGTTCCAGCCTGCCTTTATTTAGTACCGGTTATCTCCTTTAAGAAAGAGGTTCTCTGCCCAGAACCGGTCCTCTCTTAATAGTGTGGTGCTAATGTGTGATATCATAGCTCTCATTCTACTGCATTTCTCCCACTCCCACCACAAACTTTCCATTTAAAAATGTTTTTAACCCGGCCGGTGTGGCTCCGTGGTTGAGCATCGACCCCATGCACCAAGAGGTCGCTGGTTCGATTCCCAGTCAGGGCACATGCCCAAGTTGTGGGCCCGATCCCCAGTGGGGGGCATGCAGGAGGTGGCCAATCCACGTTCTCTCTCATCGATGTTTCTATCTCTCTCTCTTCCTCTCCTTTCCTCTCTCTCTAAAATCAATAAAGAAAAGATTTTTTTTTTATAATGTTTTTAACCCTGTGGAAAGAGGACAAAGCACAAGAAACACCATATGCCTTTCACCGGGAGTCTCTGAGAATTAGGGTTTTACAGCACTGGCCTTATTTCTTACTCTTTTTTATTTATTTTTTTATCCTCACCCAAGGACATTTCTCCATTTTTTGTTCAGATAGAGGGGCAGGGAGAGACAGGAAGAGAGAGAGAGAGAAACATCGACATGAAAGGGACACATCGAGTGGCTGCCACCCGCACGACCAACCAGGGCCAGTGACAAACTGCAACCGCGGTACATGCCCTTAGGCAGAAACCAAACCCGGGTCTCTCTGGACCGCAGGCCGACACTCTTAACTGCTGAGCCAAACCAGCCAGGGCCTTATTTCTTACTCTTATGCACTCATTTCTCTCCCTGTGTGTTCAGGGAGGTATTACATTCTGCTTAACTAAGATAGGCAAGTGAGTCATAGGCCCCGTGTTATTAGAAAAGTAAGGATTCAGAACTGAATTGATTTTTCTGAAAGCCTGACGCAGCCCGTGGACTCGTCCCGTTGCCCGGGTTCTCTGCGCCTGTTCCGTGCCAGTGCCGTTGACTCGTTACTGGATGTGTTTTGATTTAACAGTCGTTACTCCGACAGCAAAGACCGGGGGAGCCTTCATACGAGACTTTTGTTTCCATTTGCCGTGATGACTTTGGGTAGCTACCTGTACCATCAGTTACATTAGCCAAGTTTTGCATTTGGTAACACCTCAAAGGAATCTTTTCCTCGCCACTTTTATGTCCCCCGAGAGCCCCGAAACAGGAAGCGTGTAGGAAACCGACACCGCGGAAGCCGTGCCCCAAAGCTCGGGCCGTGTTCACAGGCAAGCCCCTGAAGAATTGCTGTCTCCGGGCCCCTTTGCTCATACTTCATGCTGCATTCCCGTCCGGCTCCTGAGCCAGAACAAAGAAAGCGGCATTACTCTGAGCACGTGGCAGCTTCGAGCAATGCGACAGGAGGAGACCGAGCCAGAGCCCCCGGCACCCTCCAAGAGCTGTGCTCTGTGCTCGGGGCTTCTCACTGGATCACACGCCCTGTGAGGTCACTGATAGGCTAATGTCCGTCTTGCAAGCCAGGCTCTTGCTATAAGGACTGCTGGGGAGATGGCATGGGCCTGGGATCACAGAGTACAGGACGATCTGGGGTCCTTCTGGAAGCTGCCAGGACTTCATTGTGCAAATGCACATGTTGTAATTGGTAGGGGTGATCATGGTGGTCTTGAGGCATCTAGCAAAGGTTGAATTTTAGTACTTACTGGCCCTCCTGTATTTTGCTGGTGCATGTCATCACCAGCTTCAAGTTAGCAGGGCACTGAAAGGAAGGAGACCCCTTGCCCTCGCTCCCTGCTGCAGCATTTACAACAGGGACTCTGCTCCCCGTTCACCTGCTCTCAGGCTGCAACCAGGGTCTTGTGAGCCTGGAGCCCCACAGGGGTGGCAGGAGGGAGAGGGGAAGGGCTCACAGCTGGATCTCACTGATGGGCCTGACCCGCTCACCTTTCCACCAGCCATATCCTTGGGAAGTGTCTGATCAGGCATGTTGTTGGAGATCCACAGTCTTCTTCCCAAACGTCCTGCTCTCTGCCAACAATTCCATCTGCTCCTGCACTTTCCTCTGCTGTGTGTCCACTCTGGGCCCTGGCATACGGAGCTGGTGCTCTGGTGGGAAGCACTGACATGGAGCAAGTCGTCATGTGGAGAAGGCAGGGTTGTGCAGGGAGGAAAGTGTGCCTGTGTCGCCCAGATCACCTAGAAATGTGTCGTTGGGTGGATGAGCTTGCAAGACACGGGGCCGGCGTGAGGCAGTCTTGCATCTCCTCCCTGCCCCAAGCCTGCAGCCCTCAAGGCCAATTTCAGAAGCCATGTCTCCCATAGACCTTTCTCTGGCGCCCCCCAGCTATTCGTAACCCTTCCCTCCCGCGAGGATTCACCTCTCTGGTCGCAGACCCTTCTGAACACCTGCTGTGTGCCAGGCACCATCAGAATTACAGCAGCCATCCAGACAGAATTGGCGCCCACCCCAAGGAGTGTGCAGCCTAGCCAGGGCTCATGGCAGGCGCCGGGCCAGACACCTGCAGGCATTCTCTCACGCCCTTGACCCAGTGGCCCTGTGAAGTGGGCGCAATTACCGTTCCCACTTTCCCCACGAGGAAGCACAGCGGAGGTCATCAGTCCATGGCTGGACATAAAGAGACGATAGAATAATCAGAGGTGTGACGAGTGCTCTCGGGCCTGCTGGGAATGTATGGCGGGACCGCGGCGGAGGAGCGGGAGCTGGCCCGATGGAGAAGCTGGGAGCCCGAGCTTGAGGTCCAGACTGGTTCCATCCTTGTTCCGCTACGTACTAGCTGCGTGGCTTTCAGTAAAGCACTGAACTTGCTCCAGGTCGTTCCTCTGGCATCTGTGCCGTAAGGGTGCTCACTCTGCGTGTAGAGTTCAGCGCAGTCACCTGTGCAGACGTGGCCCGGCACCTGGCAGGTGTTCCCTCTTCTGTGATCCAACCATGACCTGCTTCCCTGACTGTCAGCACCTGCGTGACAGTGCCTGTATCTGATCCCACCTCGGGTGCCTTCCCAGGACCCTCCCCGAGGCCCTGCATTCACATGGGGTATTCAGTGGATGTCTGTGGGGGGAGTGGGGGAGGGGGGAAACCTGCGTGAAAGCTGTCCCCACGTGGCAGGTGCGTCTCTCCCCTCACCACTGGATGCAGTCTTTCGACAAAAGGCTCCTGATGTACAGCTTTAGGAGAGAGCGGGTTTCTCTCTGAAGTGCCCCGCCGCCGGCGCCTCGGGTCCGCTCCTCGGTGTTGGCGGGTACGTGGACCCCAGCACAGCTTGATTTTTGTGGTTTAAGAAAAGAGACCGCGTCTCCACCGCTGTCACTTCAAAGGAGTGTTGTGACATCTCAGCCACACGCGTTGAATGAAAATGCTGTGGATGGGAGATGCGCGGGGAAGACATGGGGTGTCGGGATTTAGGACCCTGTCTTCAAAGCAGAGCCACCTGCTGCCCCGCAGTTGGCAAATTGGCAGCTTGCACGTCAGGGGCCTGATGTGTGGACGCAGGGGGGCTGCGGGGTCTCGTCACGGGGTTTAATCCGTGTCTCTCTGTCTCCCGCAGGAACGGCCTCAGCGGCTGCAGGACGCGGACTGAGAGCGAGCCCTCGTGCGGCTCCCCGGTGGTCAGCGGGGACCCCAAGGAGGATCACAACTACAGCAGTGCCAAGTCCTCCAACGCCAGGAGCACCTCGCCTGCCAGCGACTCGGTCTCCTCCTCCTCGGCCGACGACCACTACGAGTTTGCCACCAAGGGGAGCCAGGAGGGCAGCGAGGGCAGCTTCCAGAGCCACGAGAGCCACAGCGAGACGGAGGAGGACGACAGGAAACACAGCCCAAAGGAGGCCAAGGAGGCCCTGGGGGACAGCGGCTACGTGTCCCAGCACAAGAAGCGCCAGCACTTCGCCAAGGCGAGGAAGGTGCCCAGCGACACGCTGCCCCTCAAAAAGAGACGCACGGAAAAGCCCCCCGAGAGCGACGACGAGGAGATGAAAGAGGCCGCGGGGTCGCTCCTGCACTTGGCAGGGATTCGGTCCTGTTTGAATAACATCACCAATCGGACGGCAAAGGGGCAGAAAGAGCAAAAGGAAACCACGAAAAATTAAAAACAAGTCACTGATTTGTTTTGAACTTACGGCCATTTGGTTTCAGCATGTCAGGAGATTTCTAATGATTTGTGGCAATATCAGCAATTTCTTTTTTTTCTTTTTTTCCTTTGGTTTGGTTTTCTTTCTTTTCTTTTCTTTTCTTTTTTAATTTGCCCCCCTCCTTTGTTTTGGACCCTTGAGAATTTTATTTTTAAAGGAGATTGAAGCCATAGAACTCATTGACATTCAGCCGTTTTACAAAAGCTTCTCATTATCTGAAGACAAAACCGAAAAAGCCAAAATTACCATTGCTTCCTCCAGCTTGTCAGAGGCATGTGGCGGATCCGCAGGGATGGCGACGAGAATGCCACGGAATACCCATACTTGGCACCTAGAGGCACACGTGCGAGGTCGTCACCTGTCAGGCCTGCCCTTAGGTGTAAAAGGTTAGGATGTCCACCCAGTTGGGGTCACTGGGTGAAAGTGCATGAGGCCACTGGGGAGAAGGAAGAGCCCCCAGCTCCCCAGGAGCAGACCCAAGCTTGTGGCACCAGGCAGCGTATTATGCCAGGAAAACCCTTGGCATTGCCACTCAGCATGCGGGGGTGGGGGGCAGGGAAACCAGTCCTCTGTGCTGCTTCGTTGTGAAGCTTTCCCAGTCATCTTTCAAGGGGGACACTGGACGTTCGTGGACACTGGGTGTCAATGACTAAGGAAAGGAAATGGGGTCGATTTTTAGTGATGTTCCTAATCCTTGAATTCTGTTCTATATTAAATTAAGAGAATGTTCCACAAGCCATAAGCCTGAAGGTTGGCCCCGCGCGTGCACACACACACACACACACACACACACACACACCCACACACCCCAGAGTGAGAAAACAGGCCATGTGTGCTCAGCCGCCCAAGTGAAAAGCAAATCCAAGACATTACAATAGCTGTCAAGGAAGGAAATAATGGTACAAATCTTTTTCTGTCTGTCAAAACTATTTGATCTAAGTGAAAACAAACAAGCAAAAAGCTACGGAACCTGCCATTAGTATTGTGGTATATTTTTAAAAGATGAAAGGCACATTGATGGACAAAAACAAAAAAGGAGAACGTGGCAAAAAACAAACAAACTCCTATACTGCCCTCAAAATGGAGTTTGCAAATATTGTCAGTCAGGATTCATCTTTGCAAAAATCAGTGATTTCCACATTCAGCCAGTGTAGCCAGCAGAAATTTCTGATCCAGAGTGCATGGATTCCTTCTAAAAGAAAAAAAGAAAAAAGAAAAAAAAAAATCACAAAAACACAAACTTTTTTTTTATTCAAAAATAAAGTTCTTGTAAGGTAAATGTATTTAGCATGAAGCATGAATTATTTTCATATAAATATAGAACATAGAGAAAAGGCTATGCCTCTAATTTTTAAGCCCTTAGGCTTAGAAGTTCTTTGGGTTTTCTTCTTTTTTTGTTTTTTGTGTTGCTTTTTTTTTTTTTTTTCCTTTCGTTTTGTTTTTTTCCCAATTATTTTGTTTTGGTTTTTTTGAAGCAGGTGTTTAAGGTTTAACCTTCTTCAGGGACAAATTCTGACTGTTGGGGAACTAACTCTGCAATATAAAAATATCTTCATGTTCCGGTAGGGCTGCCTTGTCTGCACTGCAGCCCCAACCCCTCTGATTCTCTGTTGAAAAGTGTGTCCTTTCTCTCTGTCTGGACATGTTTATCATGACGCAATAATTCGAGGGCAAACTTAGTAGTGAGTGTGTATGATAGAATCAAGAGAATTACGGGACGCTGAGAAAACCATCACCGCAATTGGGTCCTAGGAAAAAGGCAGTGAATAATTATGCAAATTCCGCCAGGAGAAGGGAAACACGCTAATGGGCCTTATTGGATGAGGGTGTGAGTTAGGGTACATGCGAAGGAGGAAGTGACACGGGTGTCGGAAGGACCCGCCCCATAGTTTTCCCTTGACGCCACCTCGCAGTGGGAAGGAGGGGCCGGCCATCTCTACCACCTCCGCACTCGAACCAGCCTGGCATTAAGCCCACCTAGATTGTGAGAGCCGAAGTTAGACCACAGGACGATGTCACGCAGCCCAGGAACTCCTGTTATCTTTGCCTAAAAGAAGTTAATGTGGGGGAGATCCAGAGAGAAATTAGAAGAATGGGGTCTTCCACCCCAATGGAGGGAAGTTGTAAAACACAAACACCCACTACCGTGGCTCAGGATACGGTGGTGAGGGACAGGGACGGAAGTGGTGTGATGTCCTTTTCTAAAACGGGCCGTGTGGAGCCCACCCGCCAGCACCAGGCGCTGTCAGAACCTCCAGCAGCAGGACAGTGGGATTCACTGGTGCGTGCCTCTGCTCATCTTCCTCTGGGTTGCTGATGAGAGACCCTGAGACACATCTACACCTACACAACTGGTCGACTTCGTGACCTGAACCTGAACTCTTCCAGCATATTCCTTCAGGGTGTAGACGGGAACAAGGGTGTAGTGTTGAAGTCCTTTGTTCCCTCCATCTCACCAAACGTTGACACCCCAAAAGCCATCCACAGCTCTGGAACCTGAGGGACACTTTGATTTGTGTTGTCACCTGATCCGGCCCAGGAGACCCCCCACTTCCCAAGATAAAATTGAGACTTCCCTTCCGAAAGGCAGAGTAAAAGTTCAGGGCTGTTTCTGGCAGGGGCTTCTTCCAGCGAAAACCCCGCGGTGGGCTGTCTCCCCTCATTTCATTTTTCTAAAGGAGCCAAGACCTCTTTTAGAAAAGAATAAAATGCAATGTGTGTGATTTACTTTTTTGATCTCTTTGAGACATAGATAAATATCTTATAAAAGTGTGTTCTTAACTCCAGAACCACTCTTTTTGCATAAATACCTCATCGGGCAGCTTTCTAAGTGTTATTTTCCTGAGCTCCCTCCGCCCCTTCGCCGGGGGCGCGGGGGAGACGCAACAGGGGAAACTTTAGTGAGGGTACTTTTTTCTATTTTTCTTCTGTTTTTGGAGGCATACACATTATGCATAACCAAAACAATGGCTCAATTGTGTTTAACTTTGTATCTTGATTGTTGAGAAAAACAAAACTATCGATGTGTATGTGGCCGTGTGTAGTGAATTCATTGCCGAATGGGGTTGTCCACGTCCTCGCGCCAAGGGGCAGGAGGCACCCTCTCGCCCCCTCCAAGAGCAGTAGAGAATTTAAGCACAAGCCTATTTGTGAAAGAATATTTTGCTCAAGTATAATTCACTTTAGTCTTGGAATTCCTTCCCAAATGTCAGGTGTTCTTTTAGCTTCCAAACTAGCATATGTACTCATTAGTCCGACAGGTCGCCTGAGCACCATTCAGGGGGTGTGGTGGTTTTGCTTTCATTTCTCCTGCGGGAGAAGTGGCGTTTCGTGTGTCATTCCAGTATCTCACGTACTCACATGGGGCGGGGGGAGGGGGACTCGGGGAACTATAGCAATATTTAAAGATGCTTTGGAAAACAGCCGTGAACACTTCACCATGACATCTGCAATCACTTGCTGTTGGCCCTTGGACACATTTAAGAGGAAGAGATTGTAGCTCTTTTTTCTTAAATGACACACACATAGACAGTTATTTTTATGCTACTACAATTGTCTTTTATCTTTATCTAGTACTACGTGGGAAGGGTTTGTCTGCATCGTAGATTTTTCCCAGCCTTATACTATACCATAAGCTCCTACTTCCCCCACCCCAATCAGTATACTTTCAAGAGTTCTTTGATAAAGCTGTCTGTCTGAAACAAAACGAACCAAACCCACAGTTAGAGGGTGGTTGGAGACAACGGTGGCCAAGACAGCCGTGGCGGGTTTCAGTCTTGGGTGGGGCCGAGTTTTCCAGAAGGACTGTGTTGGAGGCCTTTCCCAAGAACTGATCTTCGTGGTAGAGGCATTCAGCGTGAGCACGGCCGTTACTACCAGGGGGCATCTGCAAGAGGCCATTTCTCGGAATGGTCCTGCCTGAGGGACAGCGTCAGGCTGTGGGCTCTAGAGTGAATGCCGCCCGGATGGCTTTGGTGCCCAGCTCACTCCTGGGACACCAGGACTGCTCAGTGCCAAGTGCTGCACCCCACACCGCGCGTGTGTGCCCTTGGCCTCGCAGAAGGGCTCCTGGAGAAGGGGTCGGAGTTCTGTACAAGTGACCTAACGGGAGGGTTTTCCATATGGGACTGGATTCCGTTCAGTGTGACTTCTCTTTCCCTTTAAACTTGATTCGGGTTGGGAGTCCTTTCTTTCTGGTGGATCACAGCTGCCCAGATGTTGCAATTTATGTTTCTGTCGAGGAGTATTTTTTTTCTTTAACCTTCAGGATTTTTGCCACCAAAAGAACACATTTGAACTCTGTGTCCCCTCCTGATTGTGACTTAACCAGTGTTGACAGTTAAATCCTTAGTGTCATAGGTCCCGGCCCTCCAATACTATATCAAACACTGTTATGCACATAATGCAGCACTGTGATCTAATTTAAATAATACTTTTTTATTATTTATACTACTATATATAATATACATCAACACTTTTGCTATATAACCTAAGTGGATAACCCTCTCTTAGTTACCTGCCAAACTCGGGACTTTGGTTTATATTGCAGTTAACACAGTTACAAAGTTGTAATGGTGTCTTTTCTTCTTCTTCTTCTTCTTCGTAACGGGATGTGTAAATCAGTGTATACATTGTGTGGTGTTCCTGTTTCTGGAGTCTCATGAGGATTTACACATGGCATTCAGTGTTCTGTATAGACCCGCCCACCTTTGTGAATTCATCCTTTAACCCTCTCCCTTTGAGAGGGCGCCCGTGCTGGGGTTAACTCCTTGTTTTCTCTCTCCTACCGGTCATTCTTGAATTAAGCACAGACTCATCAGCTCGGTTGCTTTATCATGAAAATTGCGCGTGACCTTGCCATTCTTCCACAGTTCCGCCAACAACTGCTAGCTTCGCCGACCAAAAATTAAGGGAGGAAAATACTATTTTTAAAACCATCCATCTTTTAACAGCTGAAACCGATGTGTCTATGGTGCTGCATCCTGTTGTCTGTCGTGCTCTTGAAATCGGACCTAGGTGAAAGCTCACTTCTGATTTAACTGTGATGTGCTCACAAGTACCCTTCCTGTTCGTTTTGTTAGCGTCGAAATCAAGACTATTTATTGGGAATATACGCAACAGTGTTTTTCACTGTGTCTCGTTTGCGAAAGTGGAGAACAACCTTCTCTGCTTTTGCAAATAATTAATATTCCATATTGGATTCTTGGAGACTTCGATATGGTGAGCCTATCAAACCTAGAAATTGTATCTCATCCTTTCATTACTGTGGCCTGAGTTCCCCAATCCCGCCCACCACCCCTTTTTTAGAGAAATTTAGCACCATTTCAGTTCTTTACACATCCAGCTTTTCCTGAGTTTGTACGTTGAGGCCATCCAAGCTCATAGCCGACTCGGCAACCAGTTTCACGCCGTCATTCACACTCACTACTTACACTGCCATGGTGAAAACGGAGGAAAATCCGTGTGTCTGGGAAGCAGTCTACACTTGTACATTTTTGTTTTTTTATACTCTTGATTCTGTAACACTTCTGAGTTTTGTTTTTGTTTTGCAGAAAAATAACAGTGATAAAGCAATCAGAAGACCCAGAGGGTTACTGTCAGTGCTTAGGGTCGCCCGTTTGACCTTTGCTGGCCAACAGACCCACATGGCCAAATTAATTTACTAGAGTAATAACCTTTCAGAAGCCAATTTTTCTTTTCTGTATTTTCTGTATGAAACTGCCAATATCATGACTAGAAAGGGAGAACCGTAAAGGAGAAGGAGAGTGACGTTCAGTTGCGTTCACGTCGCGGAGCAGTGTGGAGGCAGGCACAGTCACCGAACTTGAGGGACCTGATGGTGTTGCTTTGGAGGTATCCATACTTGCGTTTCGCATTCTTCATATGTAATCATATTGCCAAAGACAAACTATTTCATCATTTATTGTAAATAACACTTTTCCCCAGACCTACCATAAAGTTTCTGTGATGTATTGTCTTCCAGTTGCAATAAAAATTACTGAGTTGCATCAATTGAAGAGAAATGCCACGTGGTTTGTGTGCGCTGCGTCTCCATTTGCAAATACTGAGCAGGAAGTGCGTTTCTGGCTCTTACCCCCACTGGGGGGCGCTGTGGTTTTTTTCAGTCCGGTTTTCTGTCTCGGCTGCACTAGTGCCCATCCTCACGCATGCTTTCCTTTCGGTGGGGAATTACACACCTTTCTGCAAATACACCAGTGTGCAGCCCGAGGCCGGCCTCCCCAGTGGATCCCAGGAGTTCCGGCGCTGGTCCCGAGTTGCTGGGCCTGCAGCTGGCCTTCCCCCACGGGCCTGGGAGCTTGTGGGTAAGACAAAGTGTGCCTTTCTTTTTTTTCTTTTTTCTTCAGTCCTCACCCGAGAATGTTTCTACTGATTTCAGAG